AAGCCCGTCCACGCAACTGTCTATCAATCTTCTCCAACCTCACGTTCCAGTCCTTCTTCCACCAATCTTTGATATTGTTCACTAAGTGAGTTTGGACTCCTTCTCCCTCGATAGTGTTTATAGCCTCCACTGCAATTGTGGAATCACTTTCCACTATGAGGTGCTGCGCTCCTCCATCCCAAGGGCTAGGATTGTGCCAACACAATTCTCATCTAAGGGCTACAAATTATTCTCTAGAATTTTCTGTAATCTCCTAGCCTAGATATTTATGATGGTGGTTTCTAGATACAATTATTCTCTAGATATTTTGATGGAGACATCTAGAGTTGATTATTCTAGGATTTGGGCTAGATAACTCTTGGATATTTCTAGATGTTTGGCTAAATGTATACTAAGCCCAATGGACCAAAAAACTAAATCAAGTTTATTATTCAACACCCCCCTTAAACTTGATTTTTTAAGCCAATCATATTATGTGGAACACATTTGTCTGGTGGCTTCGAGGATGGTGGAAGATAAACAATCTTTATCGGTGTTTGTGGCGTCTCCGGTACATACACGATCTCTGCTAAATTTGACCAAGTAATCCTTGGTTTTTCCCTTTGCTCATTCTCCAAAATATCTTCTTTCTTTTGCTTTTCTGGCACATCAACGAGAGTTTGTTTTTCTTTTATTGGAATTATTTCTCCTTTGTTTGTCTTCTTTGTTGGTACTCCCCCTGACTTGTTGCTACTGCTCCTTGGCTTCACTTTATGTTTAATTTCTTTGTTGCTATTGCTTCTTCCTGTTGATGGTGTAGATGCAAGAGTTATTGGAGTAGGACTTGGTGGAGGAGTTTGATCATTTTCATCTTGAACTGTCTGCCCTTCTGAGTCATCAACATTTCTAAAGAATACGCCTTCAACTTTTATTTCTCCAGTTGCTATATGCTTTTTCTTGGTTGTCATTGTTTCATCCAATATAATTTTTTTTTGGGGTTCTATCTTTGATTCTGGCAATGTTAGCACTGCTTCATTCTCCTCTTCTTCCTCACGTTCCTCATCATCATCATCGATGTCGTCAGGGTCACTACTACGCTCGTTGTCACCTTCTCCTCCTCTTTTTTTTTCATGTTCTTTCATCAAATTGGATTTATTTATCCACTCAGCAGCTTCTGTATCTTCTTCCATATCATCAATATTATCAGCTTCAGCTTCAGTTTCCGCTTGACTTTCTTCTTCTTCTTCTTCCATAGTCTCTGATTTCTCTGACTCCAATTCATTTTGGATATCGAATTCTGATTCTGGATTGCTTGATTCTGTGTCTAGATACTATGTATTCTCTTGTTCTCATATATTGTCATTGCGTACCATCAATAGAGTGCCATCTTCTTGACTCCTTTCCTCCACATAGTTCGCCTTCTCCTCAATTTTTCTTGTAGGAGTTCTACATTTATAAGCATAATGGCCGAACCTTTGATAGTTGTAGCACTTGATTTGAGACTTGTCACGTCTTGGTTGAGAGACACCTCTTCCACGATCTCTTGTTGAGCTCTATCTTCGATCTTCATTGGCATAGTTGTTGTTGAGGCCTATTCTTCTACGTCCACGATCTCTTCCTCGACCACGATATCCTCCTCGTCCTGTTGTGTTGCCAAAGTCTTCTTCCTTTTCTTTGAAGTTGAGTTGTGTCTTGAGTAATTGTTCACCAACCCCTTGCTTCTTCTTTTGCTTCTCCTCATATGCTTGTAAGGAGCCCAAGAGTTGCTCTATTGTCATAGCTTCCAAATCTTTTGTTTCTTCTATTACAGTGACAATATGATCGAATTTTGAATATAAAGATCGCAAAATTTTCTCCATAATTTTTACATCATCTATCTTTTCACCATTTCTTTTTAATTGATTAGTCACCGTCAAGACTCTAAAAAAATAATCGGAGATATTTTCGGCATCTTTCATGTGTAAAGTTTCAAACTCTCTTCTTAGAGTTTGAAGACGTACCTTCTTGACCGGCTCAGCACCCTTGTAAGAGGTTTGTAGCTTCTCCTATGCTTCCTTTGCGGTGGCTGCCTCCGAAATCTTCTCAAAAGCATCTTCATCCAATCCTTGATAGATGAGATAAAGAGCTTTCTTGTCTCTCTTTCTTGAATCCTTCAAGCTATCCCTTTGAGCTTGGAATAGAGTGACTCCTTCTTGTGGCTCATCGTAGCCTTTCTCTACCACTTCCCACACATCTTGAGATCCAAGGAGGGCCTTCATCTTGATGCTCCAATTATCATAGTTGCTCTTGGTGGCATAGGGACTTGGAAAGGAATCATGTTGCTACTTGCCATTTCTCTAGAAAGGATCTTAAGGCTCTGATACCACTTTGTTGGGAGGAGGATATTTGAGAAAAGTAAAGGTTATAGAAAGATATGGAGGAAGAGAATACTTTTATTGCTACAGAACTCTCTTTTTTTGGCTTGTTTTGGCTTGATTCAAAATGATGGAGGACACACCTATTTATACTAGTGGTACTTCCTTAACCAATGGCTAGGATTGTGCCAACACAATTCTCATCTAAGGGCTACATATTATTCTCTAGAATTTTCTATAATCTCCTAGCCTAGATATTTATGATGGTGGTTTCTAGATACAATTATTCTCTAGATATTTTGATGGAGATATCTAGAGTTGATTATTCTAGAATTTGGGCTAGATAACTCTTGGATATTTCTAGATGTTGGGCTAAATGTATACTAAGCCCAATGGACCAAAAAACTAAATCAAATTTATTTATTCAACAAATGTATGCATCCCTTTCTTTCTCTTAAATCTCAGCTTATAAACCTTTGGTTTACCATGTTTTTAGGCTAAATTGTACAAGAATTATGTAGTAGAATGCATGGAATTCAAGGTTTTAATACATTTAAGTCATAAGATAGGAAATTGAGCTGACATTTTGATAATATTTGCATTTTGAAGGTAAAATCACAAGAATTGGTGCTAAAAGTGCTAAAGAAATCATGACGAAGAAGTAGCGGCTCAATATGGATCAAAGGAAACCAAAATAATTCAATTCAAGGTCCATGAAAGCATGCTCAAACGCACAAGAGGACGCTCGAGCGTTTGGAAGCAGGAAAACAGCCAAACTAGGCACATTAGGACGCTCAAGCGCACACAAGCACGCTTAAGCGCCCAAGAATACACAAATCCAGACTCGAGGAGCACGCTCGAGCGCCCAGTAGCACGCTCGAGCGCTCCAAGGCAGACGCAATTTCAGCAATTTGGCATGCTCAAGCGCACAACAGCACGCTTGAGCGCCCAAACACGTCCCAGACAGCAAAGATTCACCAAGATTTGCTGAGATTTAAGAAGATTTGTCTAATTATGATATGGAACTAAAACGGGAACATATCAAAGCTGATTCTTGAGAAGATTGAAGGAAGATTATGACAAGATTCAAAGCTCAAATCTCTCAACCAATCCACAAGATATTAATTGCAAAAAGGAAACAATTGGAGAATCAACTACAAATCTAATATGGATACGGCAAGAGATGCAATGAAGGATACAACCTCCAATGGCTATAAATAAAGAGCTTGGGGTCAGAACCAAAGGACATTCAGAAATTCATTCATCCCTATTCATACTCCAAGGAGGAATCCTGTTCCGGAGCGCTGGAACACTGAGGAACCAAGTCAACATCACACCAATGGAGGCTTGGGGTTCTCTTTTCTTTATTATTTCTTTTCAATTCAGTATGCTAGAGTAGTCTTTTATGTAGTTAAGGGTAGATGGAACCCAATTGAATCTTTATGTTTATGAATTAAATTGTCTCCGAATCCTGTTCTTTTTATAATTGAATAAATTATCTGTCTTTAATGCTTTCTATGAGTTTGTTCCTTATAGAATGATTTTGGAGAATTGTATGACAATAGGGATGTTGGTGCATGAACCCTGACTTGATAATTTATCACAATCCTTATGATCTAGGAATATGCATAGGGTAATTATGCAATCTTGTAATTCTTGATCTAAATGCATGTTCTATTGGGGAATAATCGGAGAACTAGAGTTCTTTCAAGATTACATAGATTTATGGTAACAAGGAATTGAGCCGTAATTAACTCTGATAGAATTGATTGACAATATATAAAGAAACAGATTCTTGGCTATTTAATTCATAACATATTGAGGATATTGGGGGAAGTCGAAACCTTAACCACACTTGTTTTAAATTCTTAATCAAACATCATCTTCATTCATTTTTTAAATTCTGAATTTTCTTGATTGCATGCTTTTACTTGTTATAATTTTAAGTTCTTTGAACAACCATTCTCTCAAACCCAACTTTTGATTGTCCAACTAAAACGCGATTAGCGAACTAGTGCTTGAAAATTTTGATCCTCGTGGGAACGATCTCATACTCCGCTACACTTTATTACTTTACGACCGGTGCACTTGCCGAGTCGCAACATCAGCTAAACATAATTAATGCGACCATAGTCTAGTATCCATAGAATTGGTTTTTGTTGGCAATTGAAGTGTAACGCTAGTTTGTAAGGTAGGAGAACTCAAAGTCCATATAAATACCACATATCAATTGATATGAACTTTGGGAGAATTTCATCCCAAAAGCTAGCTCGTAAGATAGAAGAGTTCAATGTCTATAAAAACCTCATACTAAAACCTTATATTTTAGACATGGGACTCAAGTCCCATACCTTGCAATTAAATCATAACATGAAGTCTCACAAGGAAAATGAATGAGTTAAGCAAGTGATATATAAGTTTGACAACTAATAAATTTATCACTTTAACATTTTTGGTTGAAATATGGTGTCTAATCTCCTAAGCACTCACTAAATTTTCATGTGCAAAGCTCACGAACATGGAAGATAAAAGTAAAAATTACTTGCTAAACAAAAGGAGCTCCACTGTGCAGATATCCAAAAAACTAAAAACACAACCAACACCAATCATACTGGTAGATTAGATACATAGAGCTAAAGAAATAAAATCTCGCATACCTTGGAATTATTATGATATACCCTCGTAGAAGAATTTCTGGAATGCTTCCATATGAGCTGTTTGCAAACGAATGGCTACAATAAGAGAGGCATCATCGACAGGGCCTGGAATGATGAATACTTTGCCATCAGCACTCAAAGCTCCTGGACCAAAATACACAGGCTTTCCCCATCCAAAATCTGCTCCATATACGGGCATGCTCATCCAGCTCACAATATGAAGGTTAGGATTACCTAGAAACTGAGCATGCATGCATCCAAGTGTGTTGAATGAACCTCTTAGCCAATCCACATGCTGCTGACTCTTCACAAAATCAAGCTGTGATCTTAGGTACTCATTTGTAAGTATATCAACTGCTTCCCTTATCTTTTGGGCAGCATAGCCCAATGGTTTTGATATGATATCCCCACTAAGACAGAGGTGGCTTCAATCTATTGCGGATATCAGCAACAACCCTAACAGCTGATGGCTGAAGGGTATTATTACCATATTGGCAGGCCTTAGTCACAGACTTCCACACCTTAGCAGCAATAACTTCATATCTGCTATGAGGTCTACTTGGCCTCAAACTCTCTTCCTTCATGATTTCATTGGCATCACTCTTCAACTTCTCAACTTGCTCCCTCGTGAGTTTCAACAAAGCAACACTTGTCTCTTTCTTTCTCTCCTCTATGTTGTCAGAGCAACCAAGTAAAAGTGGCAATGGCTTGAACTCTTGGTGATCAAAGCATGGTTCCAAAAGTGGTGGTTGGTTGGATTTTAGAACTGTTCGATCAAGAAATGGCATTTCATCTTCCACTAACATGTCTCCCCGAGCCAGCTTGGCCCATGAGTTAATGAAGTGAATAGCAGCCGTTTCATCAGCAATGACATTGGATATTACAATTCCAACACTAAGGCCACCACACTTGAATCTTGTCAATTGTACTAGCATCAAGGGAACCTCCTCTATGGGTTTGTTATAATCAACCTTTGGAATAAGATCTTTGATGGTTTCATTTGGTTCAAAATCACCATATTCAGCCAACAATTTAGTGGATTCAGCTTCCATGAGCTTCACTCCTATTGCATTGCATTCAACTTCCAAACGCTCACTATCTCCTATCCAGCGTAGTCGACCAGCTAGTGGATAGTAATGGACTAGGATCTTGCCAAGGGATTCTCTCATTCCACAAACCATTTGTGGGATAACATTGTGGTTGTGTTTTGGCTTGTAAATGTAGATGCTAGGTGCATGAGTCCAAGGCACAATCTGGTCACTCTCTGACAACCACAAACAATGCTTTGGAGTAGGTTCGCTTGGAGTGACTGTGCAGGAGGAGATGATCGTCACCATTTTAGCTTCACTCGTCTTTCTTTCCTTGTTCAATATGCTTTTAGTATATATAATCCCCGATGTGCAAGGTTCTCCGACTTGTAAAATTAGGGCCAAAAGTCGATTGTATGCAACCTTACTCTTGTCTTCAAGTAAAGAGACTGTTTCCCAGACTCGGTCACAGGGCTACTCCAGGGCTTGCCTTCAAATTAAAACAGCAATGATTAAATGATCAGAATTGAACTAAAGCATAACTTAAAACACACCAATCAAATGAAAAACAAGAAAATAAAGGCTAGTAATGTATGAAAAGAAAGAAAATAAGGGTTATGAAATATTATTGATTTATATTTGAATCTGTACATAGGGGTCTCTATTTATAGAGACTTCTTGACCTAATTTTGACCTAATGGGCTTGGCCCAATATACAAGTAACGGACTAAATAAATACAAATAAATGACTACATAATTACTAATAAATGACTACATAATTACTATTTACAACACTCCCCCTCAAGCTGAGGAATAGATATTTATCATTCCCAGTTTGCTAGCAAGTTCTTGAAATCTATCTGAAGGAAGCCCCTTTGTCAATAGATCAGCTAATTGACGCCCAGTGGGAATGTATGGAGTGGTAATCAACCCGATATCAAGTTTTTCTTTGATGAAATGACGGTCGACCTCAATATGTTTAGTCCGATCATGTTGAACTGGATTATGAGCTATACAAATAGAGGACTTATTATCACATAGCAGCTTCATAGGTCCCTCACATTTTATTTTTAGATCATCAAGTACAATTTTCAGCCACAGTAACTCACAAATACCTTGAGCCATAGCTCGAAATTCAGCTTCTGCACTTGATCTGGCGACCACATCTTGTTTCTTACTTCTCCATGTCACCAAGTTACCACAAAGAAACATGCAATAACCAGTGGTAGAACGACGGTCAGTCACGGATCCAGCATAATCAGCATCTGTGTAGACTTCTAAAGATAGATTGCCATCACGTCAGAATAACAACCCTTTACCAGGACTACCTTTCAGATACTGAAGAATTCTCTCTACTGCCTGCATATGTTTCTCCTTTGGATCATGCATAAAATGACTGACAACACTAACAGCATAAGCTAAGTCTGGTCTAGTATGGGCCAAATATATCAATTTCCCAACTAGCCGTTGATATTGTCCTTTATCAACTGGAGGACTCTCCTCTTCATAGCACATCTTGTGATTCTGCTCAATAGGAGTATTAGAGGGTTTACACCCGAGCTTTCCTGCTTCTTTGAGAAGATCAAGAACATATTTCCTCTGGCTGATAAAGATTCCTTTGCTCGAATGAGCTACTTCTATCCCTAGGAAATATCTCAGTTTCCCAAGGTCTTTGACTTCAAACTCAGAGGCAAGCCGTGTTTGCAGGATCTGTCTCTCCACAAAATCATCACCTGTGATAATAATATCATCAACATATACAAGGAGCACAGTAAGCTTCCCATTTTGGGAGTGCTTGAAAAAAAGAGTGTGATCTCATTGACTTTGTTTATATCCTAAGGTCATCATAACCTTAGTAAACTTTCCAAACCAGGCACGAGGTGACTGCTTCAATCCATACAAGGCCATTTTTAATTTACAAACTTTATTTTCTCCCTTCACAGAATCAAAACCAGGCGGAATTTCCATGTAGACTTCTTCTTCTAACTCACCATTGAGGAAAGCATTCTTCACATCAAATTGGTTTATATCCCAATTGTAATGGGCAGCAAGGGATAACAAAACTCTCACCGTATTCATCTGTGCAACTGGAGCAAATGTTTCTTCATAATCAATGCCATAGGTTTGAGAGTAACCTTTGGCAACTAATCGAGCTTTGTATCTCTCAAGAGTTCCATCAGAATTATATTTCAGGGCATAAACCCATCTGCACCCTACTGCTTTCTTTCCAGTAGGTCTATCAATAACCTTCCATGTTTTATTTTTCTCCAATGCATTCATCTCCTCTTGCATGGCTTGAGCCCAATTCCCATCTTTCAAGGCTTCATGTACTGATTTTGGGATTGCAATAGAGTCTAGTGCTGAAACAAAGCTTTTGTGCTGCACAGACAGATCAGCAGAGGAAACAAAATGGGAGATAGGGTACTGAGTACAAGAGGAACAAGATTTCTTAGGACATGATCTTTTTCCTTTTCTAAGAGCAATGGGTAAATCATCAGAATCAGTAGTAATGGGTAAGTCATCAGAAGTATCATGATTAGAAATATGAGATTCAGGACTTACCAGTGGTTCAGACGATTGAGGTTGTTGCTGAGGCAATGTGGGTTGTGTATCAGTCATAGGAGGATCAGTCGCAGAAAGATCAGACATAGACACATTGGGAACAAGAACAAGAGGAAGAGACACTGACTCAGGTGAAGGAGTAGACACTGAAGATTCAAATTCAAAGAAGGAAGGTGATGAGTCTTCTAGTGAATTATTCTCCCCCTGAAGATGAGGACCTTGGAAAAAGGACTCAGATTCCTGAAATGTAACATCCATAGAAACAAAAAATTTCCGACTACCAGGGTGATAACACTTCTAGCCCTTCTTATCAGGAGCATATCCAAGGAAGACACATTTAAGAGCCCTAGGATCCAACTTACTACGATGCTGTTTATGAATATGAACAAAGACAACACACCCAAACACTCGAGGAGGAAGACTTTGCAAAGTTGGAACAGAAGGAAAAAAAGAAGTCATGAAGTGAATAAGACTTACATGATCGAGAACCCGAGTGGGTAGACGGTTGATCAAGAACGCTGCAGTAAGAATGGCATCTCCCCAATAGCATTTGGGTACATGTTTTTGAAACAGTAAGGCACGAGCAACTTCAAGAAGGTGACGATTTTTTCTTTCAGCAACCTCATTTTGTTGAGGGGTGTCTACACAAGTAAGTTCATGAATCATACCTTGATTTCGTATAAATTGGGAAAAACTGTGATTAACATATTCAGTACCATTATCTGTTCTTAGTCTCTTGATTTTTCTACCAAATTGGGTCTCAACCATTTTATAAAATTGAAAGAACAGATGTGGTACCTCGGACTTTTCATGCATTAAGTAAACCCAAGTTACACGAGTGCAATCATCAATAAAAGAAACAAACCATCTATTTCTAGAAGCATGAGGGACTTTAGAAGGACCCCAAACATCAGAATGAATAAGATCAAAAGGTTCAACACTCTTAGTACTACTAGAAGGAAAAGACATACGATGATGCTTAGCAAACTCACAAACATCACAATGAAAAGACTCAACAGGATTAGATAAAAACAATGACGGAAATAAAGACTTGAGTAAACCAAATAGAGGATGTCCCAAGCGCTTATGATGAAGCCAAATCAAAGAATCAGCAGTTGATTGACCATGAGACATCAAGATGTGATCTGTTACTTTATTTGCGGGAAATTGTGACACCAGATAGTACATCCCACCTTGCTCTTTAGCACTACCAATCGTCTTCCCCGTGGCGAGATCCTGAAAAACACAATGGGTAGGGAAGAAGGTTACAGTACAATTCAGATCTTTTGTAATTTTATGAATAGAAAGAAGATTCGTGGAGAGTTTAGGAACATGAAGAGCATCTTTAAGATGTAAGGACTGCTGTAAGTTTATGTCACCAGAACCCGCAACTGATGTATGTGAGCCATCAGCTATGGCTATAGTATGAGTTCCAATGGTAGGATGATAAGAAGCAAAGGAGTCAGCACAACAAGCCATATGATCAGTAACACCAGAATCAACAACCCAGGAATGTTTAAAATCATTACATGAAGAAAGGGAAGAATGAGTTTTGGGGCTCATACCAGTCAAAGCCAAAGCACTAGTATCAGATGGCTTACTCATATAATCAAGGATGGTTCGGAGCCGTTCTAACTCATCTAGACGAAATGCAGGTTGGGTCTCATTAGGTGCAGAAGTTATTCCAAAAGAAGTAAAATGCGTTTGACCACGCATCCTTGCCATCTTTTCTAAGACAGTTTGCTTTCCATGGAGGCAAAAGCATAAATCCTTGATAAGACCTGTTCTTTTACAATAAGAACACCATCGATCATCTCTCTTAGGTTTAGAAGATGCACCATCATAAAACTTTGTAAAGGAACTCCTTTGAGAAGAGACCATACTGCACAAAAAATAGTCAACGAAAAAGGCTCTAAGAAGCCAAAAAATTCGGAAAAAATACCAAACGATGTCCGATCAGAGAAAACAACACAGATCCAGAAAGAGAACATGGAGACGAGAAGAATGGTGGTGGTCCGGTCTAGAAACACCGCCGGACGCGCCTCCACGCGCCGGAGAAAGCAGCTGCGTGTGGGCTTCACTCTCGGACAAAGAGGCGGCGCGTGAGAGCGCGTGGCAAGGCTTCTCCGGCTGAAATTTTTCCGGTGTGGTCTTCCGGTGAGCGCGCACCTGTCTGTGGGTGGTTGCGATTGAAAAGTCACCGGAAAGGGTTCTAAACGGTGAAGACGGAACTGGTTGAAGGCGGTTGGAGGTGCTTGGGTCGTTTGTGGCGGAGGAACATTGCGTAGAATGATAGAACGAAAAAAAAGAAGGTCAACAGTGGTCCCCTTGGTCCAAAAGGTCCCCGGAAAAAATTTTCTGGTGGCGGCAAGAGGCAAAGAAATTAGGGTTTTGTAAAAAAAAAAGACAATAGGCACGGAAGCAGAGCCCTCAGGATCGAGAGCTCTGATACCAACTTGAAAAAGGGTTATGAAATATTATTGATTTATATTTGAATCTGTACATAGGGGTCTCTATTTATAGAGACTTCTTGACCTAATTTTGACCTAATGGGCTTGGCCCAATATACAAGTAACAGACTAAATAAATACAAATAAATGACTACATAATTACTAATAAATGACTACATAATTACTATTTACAACAGTAACCAATATTTAAGTTGAGAAGAAAATTAAATACAACCACACTTTAGGTTTATAAGCAAAAAAATTATATCAAGGGAATAACTCAGGAAAATTAAAACAGTATTAATCAATGAAGAGAGATTTGACAGAAGTAAATTAAAGCAAACTGAGAAGTAAGGTGGGTGGTAATTGAAAGGGAATTATAAACACCAAGCTAATATGGATTTCTAACCAAAATAGCTAAATTAAATAGCTGTAACTGAATTGAGTGATAAAAGAGAAATTAAGAGCAGTAAGCAACTCTTTAGAAGCTAAGAGTTGAATTCTCAGTTAGAAATTTAAGAAAATTAAAGGGAAGAGCAGCCAAACAGCTAATGTGGACTGAAGTTAAATAAACTTAAAGGGAGATTAGGAGTTCATTACATATATCAAATTAAAGGGAGATTAGGAGTTCATTAGTCCACTACTAATTTTGCATTTATATTGCCTAAAGAAGATGTTGCTTATATCTACAGTTTTCAATTTTATGGTTTTCGACATGCAACATTTTTTTTTTCTTCTGACTTACATCTTAATATATGTCCTTGCAAGCCATAAACCAAAATCCAACAAAAGTGCAGGTTAAATTGGTTATATGGAGGCAAAGCTCATCTATGAGGCTTTGCACATTGAGTGATTTCTCATTCAAACCCCATATAGTTAATGCCATGTCCAATTTTATTGTTTCTCAACAATTATAACTTTAAAAATTGATTTATGCCAGGTCCCAAACATAAACAACAACCAGAGAGATAAATCCAACATTAACCAAATTGAAATTAACTTCAAAGTACATGATAAGCAACCCAAACACTAAAACTGGAAGTGGGAACTCTGTTACCCCAATCTAGAGTATTTATTTAGCTCATATTCATGGTAAAGAATACAAGCTTAAAGTTATAGGAAAACATAAACGTCACAGCCGAAAACGAAAATTAAAAGTTCAGAAAAAAACATTACAAATCCTAGAATTCAGAGGAAAACTGGTTTCTCTCCCAAGGCTCTTTTTGACGAAGTGTTCATTCAGCTAAAACGATAATAGTGGCAGATTCTCTGGTTTGACCATTTTCTTTTCTTCTTATTCACATTTTACCTTGATTGGTAAAATAATAATAGGGATATGATATTGTTACTACTAAATAATATTATCAATGTTACTACTATATCTTAATCGTTTATTTCTGCCAATCAAAGGTTATTATTTTCACAAATTAAACTCATTAATTAATTATTAATTCGCAATAAATGATAATCGTTGATTGACAAAAATCAACGGTTAAAATATGATAATAACATTGATAGTAACATTATTTAATAGTAACAATATCCTATCCCATAATAATAAAGCTAAAATAGTAGTAATTTAGTTAATTTTTCCTGCACATATCATTTCAACAAATAAAAAACTGGAATAGGTAAAATTAAGGGCTTGCTTGATTGTTTTTTTTCTTCTTAAAACTGTTTTGGAGAATAAATAATGAAAGTAGATTTTTTCTATATTTTTTGTTTTAAAAATTAAAAGTCAAAATATAAAACAAAAACAATTATACATATTCTCTGAATTTAATTATAAAAACTAAAAAATAGTTATAATTTTTAAAATTATTTTTACAAAACAGACTTTATCAAATAAGTTTTTTTCATTTTTTTTTTTTTTGTCAAGAAAATCAAAAAACTGTTTTCGAAAATACAATTCAAACAGGTCCAAAGTTTTTTCTATTTTTTTTTTATCATTCAACAAGAGACTTAACACATGTATGTAAAGGCAAAAAGACTTTTCCCTTAAAAATATAAAATTAAAAACATGTGGAGATTTGAGTATTAGTTTTGATATTTAATTTAGGGTGGTTTTTGATGATCTAGCTTCTTCTATGAACGTTGGCTTGTAGCCATGAAAACCTTGTGGATACTATGACTCAACGAATGTGGTATTCAATAATTAATGAGTATGACAACCCATTTTGTACATTTCTATATGTGACTAATATAAGACTCATGTGGTACATAATGTTATATGACAGTCCATATCAAATCTAAAACATTATCATTAAGTAATTCTCGAAATGACAGGTTTATATCTAGCCATACGTTAGTAGTGACAAAAGTTTATGATACATCAAAGATTAAGGTTCTTCAACTCAGCCAAGTACAAGCTTCGTGGCAGATCCCTTTCTTGAGACATGGGAAATGGTGAATTGTGAAATCATGACTTTTCACATATCATTTTAAGCTTCCTGGATTTCTGTTCCAAGACAAGTATGATGGATCCCCAAGAGGTCTGCATATACAGCAATTTAGCAATGTCAGCTTGCAAGTTCTGAATAGACATACAGATAATCCATGACAAAATAGAATAGTGATTAGCTTTTCCATTCTAAATACCATAATCTTCATGACTTGCATGGCTCAGTTTGCTGACTCGCTTATACAGATCCAGATCAACATTCAGAAGTTTTTTTTTCTTTTTTTTTTTATTGTTGACTTATATGGAACCATGCAAGCACTAACATAGAAAAATCCAAATGCAATATTTGTTTATAATCCATAGTAAAAAAAAATCATGATGAACTTGCCAAATATTTTACCCATAAAAATAAGGGAATATTATTTCTCATGCTGTAGGAAATAAATTTTATCTTCTACACACACATAAATGTGTGAGAGGCCCATATTTCGTTTTTCTCTCTCTTTTTCTCACATGACCCCAAATGTGCCTCATACACTTTTATGTATGTGTAGGAAATAAAATTATCTCCTACAACATGAAAAACATTAATCCTTGAAAATAATGACAGAAAAGTATAGGAGAGGAGAATATGTAGTATTTCCTCACCTTGGCTTCATCACATACAGAAGTAGGAAACCTACAGCCAACAACAAGGAAATCCCGCCAATGAGAATATATGCCATCCCCAAGAAGTGATTTTTTCCACCAATCCAAGTTGTGGTTGAAAGCACCAAGCTCTTTCTGCCTCCAAACGCGTATGTATTATAATTGTTCTCTATTACTATCATTATTTCATCACTGACTTCAAGGTCATTCTCAATCTTTCCATATAATTTTCTGAAAGTGGGCAATGCTGCCGTTCGCATCCAAACAATGAGATCCTCTTGTTCACTCAACTGGTGCATGACACATGATGACAAAAGATTAATTTCTCAAAATATCAAAAAGTAAAGAGTAATTTTCTCACAAAAAGTGAACTAATGTACAAATTATACAGCAATGAAGATATATTTACAGGTACGCTCTCATTAAGTCTAGCACCCCCAATCAAACCTCCAGCCTGAAAATTTTTTGGATAAACATCAGACCCGAATTTCGCCTTTTGGTCACTCTTCCATGCTATGTTCTTTTTGTTGATCACCATATCCTTATTGTTGTTTGAAAGTCTGTACGTGTCATTGAACAGGCTCCATGCAATAAGGCCACAAGGAACAATTGGTTGATGACCCTTGTCATCAGGGGTATAGTCTTCTGGACCACATGAGCTTACATCATTCTCAGCTGCTTTGCTCCTCAGTTGTTTATCATCCCTACTTTTAACGTATCTGCAAATATCATCCCAAATCCAGGTAGGGAAAAGCATTTAAACATTCAGAGCACACAATGAGGGCAAGAAGTGGTTTGCATAAGAAGCTACTTAATGAAATGAGTTATTGTTTTCTATACTTATCAACTTGAATTTTGAGCGAGTTTTGTACTGCATGAGAAAAAACCAATCTATAGAATATAATTTCGAGAACTGAAATATGGATTGCAGTTTTGATCTATACAACGATACAATAAAATTTTGGAAATTCAAACACAAGATTTCGGAAAATGATATCATGCTAGTGGTCATCTCAAAATGTATGAATGAAAATGGTGATCATAGCAGTGCCTCAGAAGTCAGAACTGGCGGGGTAAGGGGCCCAACATGAGCACCCATTGTTATGACTAAAGCCCACGACAAGAGCTCAAACCAAAAGATTAGCTTATTGGATAGGAGAATCTCATCATTAAGTATATATTGAGTTTCTTTATTAATTTAATCAATGTAAGACATAAGGTAGAGCTTCAAAGCATCACAAATGCTAATATTAGGAAAAAACCTCCTGATGGGCCTGAGATAATTAGTTAGTTAGTTATTCTAGAATATTCTCAAATAATAGGATATAAGGAGGGGAGTGTGGGAGTGTGAGGGATGCATGTATTCAGTGAAATGGGAATTGAGAATTGGGAAAAGGATCTCTAGGGATCTTTTTGGCCCAAGTATTTTGGCTTGAGAACGAGGGAGGTCTTTTGGTGTTTTACTTTTTATTTCATTATAATTCCTTTGGAGTCTGTAGTTGCTGATTTGTAATTGCAGTTAATTCCCTGTCACAATGTGATAGGTTGGAGTCGATTCAATTTGAATCAGTAATTAGGCAATCCGTCATCGTTTTATTTCAATACAATCAGTGTTATTTCTCCATTTTGCTTGTGTATTTCTGTTTAATTGCTGTTGAATACACGGGTTCCATCAATTTGGTATCAAAGCTTCATATCCTTGGAACGTTGATCTAGATCTAAAAAAACAAAAATAAATGATTCTAGAATTTTATGGAGATAAAGATGAAATTAAAGCTTGGGGATGGTTGCTCGGGCTTGAACAACATTTTCAAGCAAATCAAATTCAAGAAGCTGATATGGTAAATGAAGCTATGAAGGGGTTGAGAGGTCGCTCAACTGGTACAAACTTTGGAGTGGGCTCAATCCCCATGTAAGCTGGCAGGGCTTTGATAGAGCATTTATAGGGAGATATATACTTGAGATCTGTTTGGTAGAGAAGGATGAAGTATCGAACAACCCAGAAAAAAGGGAGGAAAAAGAAAAAAAGAGATCGATATAGAGACAAAAGAAGAAGCAGATCGGAGCACAAAAGAAGATGATACTGTAGAAGAAGAAAAAAAATAAAAGTGCAAAGGAAGAAGATGCAAAAGTAAAGGCAGTAGAAAAAGAAACAGAAATCGGCAAACAAGAAGAAGACAAAATCGTAGTAGAAAAGGTAGCAGAAAAAGAAGAAGAAGAAATCAATTAAACAGAAAAAGAAGGAGCAGAAATAATCGAAGAAGGAGAAAGAGATCGAAATATAAAAGGTGCAGAAGAAGAGAGAGCTTGCTGAAAAAGATGGAGTGGGTAGAAATGGGATATGAAGACGAAATGGTCGTGGGTAAGCAGAGTGGACATGGAGGCCGAAGCGGGTCAGGATATGGTACTTGAAATCATTCGCGGGTTGCATTAACAACCCAAGATACCAATAGCAATGGAGAAAATGTGGGAGGCAATGGATCAGTAGCTCAAACGGGCCCAATAATTCGTTTCAGAAAGGGGTTAATAGTAATGGGGCCACTAATAGATGGAATACAGAGCAGGCCCAACGACTCACTTAGAAACCCAGGACCAGCATTAACAGAAACCAATAAAGGGCAAGAATCAACACACAGGGGGCTTCGTACGGCAATGATAGGAGGGGTACCAAGTTCTGATGGCTGTCATCGGCAGAAATGGTTGTTCGCCGGCGGCGAAATTTATGCTTCCGGTGCGACGCACCTTTCTCGCCATACCAAGTCTGTAACAGCCTGAACCTCCACGTGATGTTGGTGGGAGTTGGCGGGTCGGAGGTCGAAGGGGCACCAACTCAGAAACCAGTGACGCATTTCTTCAGAGCATGCACAACATCGCAGGTCTGATGTCGAGCAAGTCGTTGAAGCTTTGGGGAGCAGGATTCCGGCAACTTACGCAGCAGGAGAAGGAAGAAAAACGAGATGAAGAAGGAGCTTGGAAGGAAGAGGCAGTCTTGCACAAAGAGGATGAAAAAGGTTTGTCGCTAGAACTGGGTATGCATGATTTGGTAGGTGTGACTGGAATTGCAAATATTGGGGGAACAGGGGCGGACAACATGAATTTTGAAGGGGACGACATGGTGAAGGAGGAAGAAAGAGAGGAGACATACCTCGGGCCAACTATGTATAGGATGATGTGGCTGGTTTCTAATCGGTCATTAATGATTTGGGAAAAATCGAAGAGAGGAGGGTTGTTGTTTTAATGGACTTAGGAGTTTCCCATTTCTTAGCAATACAAGTGGCTCAATAATGGAAGCTTCTGGTGGTCAAGACAGAAACATATTTCGTGGAAGTAGGAGATGGACATAGGGTCGACAATGAAGGGATGTGTAGGGGTGTGGTACTGTCATTACCAGAATTGTCAATCACTCAAGATTTTTGGTCAACATGCTTCAAGCAATGGGATCCGGGCCGATGTTTTCTCACATCACCTATCCTCTTTCTTCACCTTGAGGACAAGGTGAGTTTTGGAAGAAGGAGAGTAATGATGGGCCTGAGATAATTAGTTAGTTAGTTATTCTAGAATATTCTCAAATTGTAGTATACAAGAAGGGGAGTGTGGGAGTGCGAGGGATGCATGTATGCAGTGAAATGGGAATTGAGAATTGGGAAAAGGATCTCTAGGGATCTCTTTGGCCCAAGTATTTTGGCTTGAGAGTGAGTGAGGTCTTTTGGTGTTTTACTTTTTATTTCATTGTAATTCCTTTGGAGTCCGTAGTTGCTGATTTGTAATTGCAGTTAATTCCCTGTCACAATGTCATAGGTTGGAGTCGATTCAATTTGAATCAGTAATTAGGCAATCTGTCATCGTTTTATTTCAATACAACCAATGTTATTTCTCCATTTTTCTTGTGTATTTCTGTTTAATTGCTGTTGAATATACAGGTTCTGTCACATGCATATAAACAATTTATCATCACAGTACATAGATGAATTATAGGCCTCTTCAATTTAGCGGGAGATATATAAAAATAAAATCATCAGTTTTTGTATCCCCCTTTTTAGGTATATTTGGAAGGTAATCTCAAAGTAAGAATTAGTAGTTGTGATCTTATACTACTAATTGGTCTTTCAAATTTTAATTTTTGAAATTCTACAATTCCTTATCACTGAGACGAATCTTGATGAGGATTTACTGTGAACAACTATAAATAATATGAGTATATGTTAGTTTCAGGCATTTGAAACTTCAAATAATCAATCCTTGCTCAGCCTTATGAATTTCTTAATGAGGATTATAGCATAAAGATGATTATTCATACATGAGTGGACAAAAGACTTTATAACAAGCATCTGCGTCAGCAGTAACGTGATAAAGGAATTTTGGGAATAAAAGGAAAGAGAGAAAGAGCCAAAAATTCATGTCAAAATTAAGACACTGGACAAAGCTGAGGTGGACTCCCTAACTCACTAAAAAAGTCAGCCAAGTATTTGAACTTTAGAATTCCAAATCAAGATGAGTTTATCAGATTAATGAGAGAAATATAAGGCAACAGCTGATTATATTATGAGAACAATACTATGCTATTCTGAATATATAGCGAGAAAATGGTGCCATAATGAGTAGATAGAGAGACAGCACGGACGGATGAATTAATTGAAGCATTTCCTAATCTTAGAACAAAAATTTACTAATACCCCACTGCTCCTCCACAGAAAAACAACAAATAAAAGTCCATGAAAATTATGATATTCTTTAGACAGATGTGTAATCCTGATATGCAGGAGGGGGCAGGGCACAGCCAAAGAGAAAATATGAGAATAAGAAAATAGCACACGATAGAAATGACTAAATACACTACGCTACCTATGGAAATTGAAAACATGATATTAATCAGAAAATGGTGTCACAATCTTGCTAGGAAAAATATATATTTTTGAATTTCTCCTGGTGAACTCACCACCCAAAGACACATGTAATTAAGTATATGCATATAAAGCTAAACAGTAAGGAAATAAGTCCCATAGTAAGTTCCATTTGACCAATTCTCTATTTGGTCTTATTCTCTTTTCTGATTCAAAATATGTTACGGCTCTTGATTCTTGAAAGGTACAAATTACATAAATGGGGTAAGGTGAAGATAGAAAGGGAAGGAAAATGAAAGAAAGGAAAGGTATTAATGATGAATGACCAAAGCATGAGAACAAGAGGTAATCCTCTTCACAAGGGAATTCACGCGACACCTGAGAAATATCTCAGTCAACAATCAAATCTCCAAAAAGTGTCTTAACAATAGAGAAGCCCTGCCTTATATACTGGCAACACTTCTCACCCATAAGACTAACTAACTGACCACCTCATCCAGCAGTTGCTAACTGCTCTAGCTTTCTAACCGATGCTCATAACTAACCTAACAACTATCTGGGTATATTCCTTCGGAAATATCCTTTCCAAACCGGGGTTTTCCACCCTCTTAATGCTAGTCGTATCAAAATATGACAATTTTTTTTTTTTTTTTTTTTTGTGAAATTCAAAATATGACAGTTATCTACCTATGCCATTCTCAGTTACATTTCTAAAATTTAATGCATTTTGCATGAAAGCCCTTTTTTTTCCAGGTTGATGCATATTAATAGAAACAAAAGATAATAATGTTTAATGAAATTAGTACTTAAAAGAAAATCTGCTGTTGGTATTTGACACTTCATATTTTGCTTCATATTATTCATGCCTCCTTTCCTATCAATAATCAGAAAGTAACATACATACTTTTTCGGTAGTTTAATGGAGAGGCATTTCATCTTAAAGATGGAATAAAATGTCAAATCAAATGCACACTGATGCACAGACAAAAAGGGAAAGAGACTTTACTAGTTAATTGAACATACCGGCGATGGTTCTGGTAAAAGTTATCAAGCTGATAATAGACATAAACAGGGGCTTTCATTTTATTCTTAACCTGCAAAATTTGCAGCAAATTACTTAATAAAAGTTGCAGCCTAAATTATCATACAATATCAAACAAGGAGAAATAAATTCTTCCAGTGCAAAGGAGAACTTTATTTTTCAATGATATCATTGATAAGGAATTGTACTAACAGTATATGTCCTGGTGCAAGTTTTGTTTGTCTTATCGTCCTTAATATATGCCTCTGCACGGTCTCTATAAACAGATGGAAGGCATTGATCATCATATCGGAATGGAACTTCCACCACCTGCATCAGAATTTCTTGTTCAACATACAATTAGTTTGTGAACCAAATTCCATTTGATACTACGTATAGGGAATAGTTATTACACGCTCTGATGCAAACAATGAAGCAAGACCAATGGGGATGAAGACGAGTCCTATAACTGTAAATATTGAAATGACCTGGAAAACAAAAATAAAAACGCTTTAGAGCATGGAACATTTGAAGTCTAGACAAAATCTGTTGCATACCACGATTATTTTGTAAAAACTAAACAAGTGATGTTGGAAGCTATACCCATCCTGGTGTTAGAATTGGTTGCCATGCAGGAAGTTCTTGCTGAGTGAATTTAGAATCTGCCATAAATAAAAATTTCATGAGTTACATTGGCCAGATAAATGCAATAGAAGACAACACAACACACATACTCTAAAAAGTAAAAAAAACATAGAAAAGGACATAAGAGAACTATCAGCATCAATTAATACGACAACCTCAGAGGCCTCCAGATTTGAACAATGGAGAGGACAAAAGAACAGCAAGAGTAAGAGAATAACACAATGAAAATGGTAAAATTACAACCACCACACCACAAGACAGTTGAATGAAATTAACAATGATTATTCTTGTAATGCAAGATAGTTAGGTTACAGAATTCAAACAACTTCATATGGAATGAACCAAAGTTTTGCAAAATCCTATCTTTTTTAATAAGCATCCCTCAACCTGCTTAAAGGTAAATTCCCATGTTGTTAATGATCAAAACCCTGGAATTTAAATTTATAAAACTAAAAAACTGCGCTAAGGAAATGCCTCATTGTTTGGGAGGGACATTTCAGGAAGTTCAATGACATTTACCTAAAGTAAAAACCACAAGAACAAACAAATAAATAAATAGGATTGGAGGGGGAAGAAGAACTTACATTTGGGTTTCCTAGAATTTTTGGATTGTCCATCAATGACAACAACGGAGCTTGATGAAGGTTCTATAGACATAGCCAAGAAACCCAATGTGACTAAAACGACAGAACAATCAGGAAAATGTTAATAAAATTAACAATAAAAAAGTGGGAGATTTTGGGATGATGAAAAAGTGGAAAGCTTGGGCTTAATTTTGTTCCTCCCGTTCTCTCTCTCTATATTTATATTCATGTTATTTGGGTATGTTATGGGGGTGACAGCTTTTGAATGTAAAACCACCACACATTGTGGCTAATGGCTATCACATTCACATTTGGTTTTAAGAAAGGGAAGTGAAAGGTGGCTTTTTCACGAGTGCAGCTACCAGTCCTCATTCAATATCATTTCTCCTCCTAACTCCCATGTCCTAAAAGTGAACATCATGCACTTATTTTATTTTATTTTTTAATTTTTTTTTGGGTACACTATGCACTTATTTTATTTGATAGACCATGCACTCATGTAGTGTTATCAGACCGGGCTTAATGAACTGATTATTAGATGGGTTCGAATCAAGAATTGGATCGGTCATATATTGGATTCGGTCAAATCCAATTAAAATTAGTGATATGGTTCGGTCATGAAAACAAGCTGGTCTGGTCATGCATTTTTTATAAATAAATAAAAAAACCAAAAACTAAAGTTGTTTGGTCTTATCTGAAAAAAGTGTGAAACTCCTTTAATTTTTTTTTTTTTATGATTTTGTTTACTAGTAATATACTCTCCGGTAGAATTTTGCAGGCAGAACAGTAAATTAAGAGAATGTGACATATTTATTCCTTAGAAATCTATTTTTATGAGAATAGTTGTTGGTAAATGCCTTGTAATTATTAAACATAGTTAGTTGAAGATATCTGGTAGAAGAATTATATAGGATCACCTTATACTTGAATTTTCCTTTTTCTTTATTTATTTCTTTTACAATATATTATATGTGGTTATCAAATATGATTTTTTTTTTATCCTTACTAAAATTATAAATGTTGCAGCTCAGTATAACAATTTTTTACATGTATTTAAATATTTTATGAATTTTTAATGTATAAAATATAAATTTTATATAATAAGTCGAGTTATGCAGTTCAACCGGTGATCCAGTAATTCAATTAACGAGTAACTCACCGTTTGCTTACGTATATGTATGTACACCTAACACGTTTGTTGTTTTGATGCAATTGGTATTTGATACACCGTAACCACCCCCTTCCTTTCTCTCCTTCTAAAATCAACTGTTTTCTGATTAACAAAAATCATGTAGGACTCTTTACAATCTATGGACAAGGTTGATCATGAACAAAAGGGAAACCGAAAAACGGGAAAGATCCGAAGCCCGCCGAGTTTGTGTAGGAAGGTTGATCATGTTCACAAACTTCTAAATTTGCTTAGCCAATACTAACGAGACTAGCACCACGCTTTCTAAGGTTATCAACTTATTTTAGTTTGGCAGAAAACTTTTTACGTTGGAAATACATTAAGCAGAAAACTTTAGCTATTGTCTTATTAAGATTAGTAATAATCTTAGGCTAATCAAAAGGTACTAATAATAAACTTAAGAAGTTTAGAGGTAAAAACACTACCTGACGCTGAAGACCTGTTGATTATTGATGGGGCATTCTTAAATTAGTGGGTGTAAAGCATTGTCAGAAGAAAAAAAAAAGTAACATAAATAATACATTGATTATGACACATCCACCCACATAAAATATACCAAAAAAAAAAAAAAAAAAAACATAGTCACTCTAGGGTGAATAATAATAACACATAGGAAAAAAGTAGAGATGAGTAGAGTAGAAAAAGGAAAGAGCCATCTATTGTAAAGAGGAAAACAAATATCCATTTTCCAATCGAGAACCAAATGTAGTGGGGCCCTCGCTCCTTGCTTTTATACAGTGTTATTAAAACTAGCGTGACCGGCCAGTCGGATTGATTAAATCGAGACGCGAATTTCTAATTGGTTCGATTTAGTCAATTAACTGACCATGTATACAAACCGATCAAGAACAAATGAACCGATCAAGAACAAATGAACAAGCGATGCTAACCTGGTACTGGTTTTTTGGTTAAATTGATTTTTAAAAATTGTGACAAAATATTCCATCACAGTTGTACTCTTGGGATTTGATATGGAAAAATATACAGGCCAATGAGATTTAAAGCCCAAAGAGAGCCCAAGAGACACAGTGATCTCACAGCGCAAGATACATGATTCAAGCATTGCGCAACCCTATATAACTTAAAGGCTAAGGAAAAGCTTTGCAACAAGCTGAGTTCCACCACCGTGTACAAAGACCAACATAAGGAAGACAGCTTCAGCTTGCCACCACTCTAAAAAACAGGCTACTATATAGACTTGCTCACCAAGGAAATAGCCAAAAAGGCAGCAACCCACAGTAACCAATAAGAAGGTATGCCGCCTACCAAAGGCGGCACAAAGATTGCTATAAATACGAAGGGTGCAAACCCATGTATGACCATCTTATTCCCATTCAATACAACATAAACCTAGCATTGATACTAACTTGAGCATCAGAGTGTCTTTGCAGGTGCCCCCCAGTCTTTTCCATTGTGCCGAAATCATTCAATAGCCCTCACATGTACAGGAATCATCTCAAGCCCATAAATTACAACGTACAACCCAAAGTCTTCAACCTTCAACCTTCAACCGTGTATGATTTAGCTTAATCCATATTGGATTGGTCCGATCAGGATTTAAACTTGCAACCTAAGGGAAAAAGAGTGACATAACCAGGCAAATTACTTTAGTTGTTATATTACTTTTAGGGAAAATAGAAAATTATCAAATTCGTTCTAGAAAAGCGTTATATATTTATTATACATCTTTACATATTAACTGAAGTAACGCGTTATCCTGACTGAGTTGATAACTGATTTGGGTTTAATAACTATTCTAGCAGGCCCTTACAGGCCCTATACATTGGGTCCAATATCAAAGCTCATATCTAGAGCCTTCTAGAGGGCCCCTCATCACATAGAATTCTCCTTCTCCCCCATGCAATGCTGCCCCTGCATACCAGCAGTTGGTTCAGCATGCTTAGCCTGAAAAGACTAGGTTGGTTAGGTGATAGCTTTCCACCCTTTCTCTCCCACTCTTGAGAGGAACTCCACTACTCTAAATATCCCTTTCTCCCATAGAAGAGGCTTTTTCCTCTCGCTTCTACTATTATGTTGTTACTCTACCTTTACCATTGCTACACATAGTACCCCTAGATTTACATATTTCACCTTTCATGGAACACATTCACGAACTCCCTACAATTCAATAACATTGCCTCTATATATTAGCCTATTCGGTTTTGGGAAATCTGAAAGGGTTTTATTTCTCTTATGAGATATAAGATAAATTTTTTCTCCTATTATCATTTCGATTTCCGTGTTTTATTTTTTAAGTAAAGTGGATCTTACTATTTATTTTAGGGGAAAATGTGTATCACTTTAGGGCCTGTTTGGAGCACCTGATAAAGAAGATAGGATAAGATAGCTTATCATATCCTACTTTTATCTCTTCTTTGATGGGTCAATAGGATATGATTAGCTTATCCTATTGTCTCATTTTATGCTATCCAATACATGATTTATTATTCTATGGGGGGAGTTGGGTTAGAATCCAACATGATAGGATACCAATATTGGATACCCAATATAGCCCCACGCTACCCAATATATTTCCACGCTATCCAATATATTTGTATTTATTGCATTATATTTTATTTTTTATTTTTTCTTTCTCTTTCTACATAATCTTATCAGATTACTAATCAGGTGCTCATCAAACGCATGACATAATATAAGTTTATCAGCCTCATATCATATCCTACCCATATCAATCCCATATCATATCTCATCCTTATCCTATCATGTCCACCAAACGAGTCATTAAAACATATAAAGTTGTGTCATTTTAAGTGAGAGAAAGAGATAGATAAAGGAGGAGAGAGTGAACAAAAAATATAAAGTGTGGGTTTCATCTCTTTGTGAGAGTGAAATGAAATAAGTTGTGTATTTAGAAGGACAAATATTTTTTCCTAATTGTACAATAGCTGTAGTAAACAACATAAGCAGATATTGAATATGATAAAGAGAAGACACGATCAAGCATACCCAAATAGAAATTGGAGCATACTGAGCTCCCGACCTCACTACCAAAATTTTCTTTTGAAGGTGAGAATCAATAAGCCTTGTAGAAACAAGGGAATGTTTCTTTCTTGAATTTCATGTAATGCCATAGCTTTTCTTTATATTGGGTACCAGTATATGTTGGACATATATATTGGGCTATTGGCATACAAGCTTAATAGGTGATGATGATGATTGTTTGGATCCATATGGATTGGATATTAACTCTAAAGTTTTTCTTTAACATGAGATCAGCGTTCCAAAATCCAATACGTGTTAGTGTAATACTTCAATCAACCTTCTCTCTCAAACCCATAAATCTAAAGAAGACTGAAGTTAAAATATCATCTTTGACATTGGTTCTTCAGCTTTTGCATCCTTTTAAACTCCTGCATTTCTCCTTTCCATCTTTGGCCTGAGAAACAAGGAGATAAATATGTTGTGGCATGATAGATCCAAGGAATAGAGGATGCTGGAGTTTCATATAGCTGCACTTTCGATAAGAAGACGGCAAAATTGGTTAATCATTCGTTAAGTACTATGAATGTCTGTTATTTAAAAAAATATTTGTTATTTCAAATATAACGGAACGGATACAAAAGAAAACGGAACAACCTTTAACCAAAAGAGAAACAGAAAACGTTAAAGAACCCGGCTAAAGCGAGGTGTGTGCAAGAATCGACACTTTACCTAATGTCGCCAAAATTTTTCTTATTGGGCTTAAGAAACTTGGAAAATTTAGAGGGAGAAAAGGCCGCGTGACTCTAACTATTATTTAACGGGAATGACGTTTTTATAATTTTTTTTTTTACAAATTACATTAAGTATGACCGGTCATACACTCTTGATTGAAATATGATCGGTCATACTTAGTGTAGTTTATAAACAAAAAAATTGTCAATATAACTGTTGAGATATATAGTCTCACATTGGTTGTATGTGCAACTAATGTGGAGTTTATAAGGCCTTGGGCACTCCCATCCTTTGAGCTAGCTTTTGGGGTGGTGTATCCCAAGGTTCTTTACATGGTATCAGAGCCTCGCCGTCCCTCACTTTCTATTGTGGCGTTTCTTAGCACAGGTAGGCTGGGCCTGTTGCATTGTCCACTCTTCAAGCCCAATGGGCTCTCGTGTGAGGGGCGTGTTGAGATATATAGTCTCACATTGGTTGTATGTGCAACTAATGTGGAGTTTATAAGGCCTTGGACACTCCCATCCTTTGAGCTAGCTTTTGGGGTGGTGTATCCCAAGGTTCTTTACAATAACCTTTTTCTTATTTAATTAAAGGAAAAAAAGTGTGTCATTTTAAATGATACGCCTTATATCCTTTCACTCTCACAAAGAGGTAGGACCTACATCTTTAAAAAAATTTCCCTTCACTCTTTCTTCCATGATTTATCTCTTTTTCTCACTTAAAATGACGCAACTCTGTGTCCTTTAAAATGATACACATTTTTCCCTTAGTTAAATCTCAAATTAGTTTATGATTTTAATTGAAGGACTTTATTAATCTCATGTGATAGGAGAGAAATCCTCTCATATTATAAACACAATCATGTGTGAGATCCATTTACTTATAAAAAAAGAAAAAAAGAAATAGCACTAAAATCAATCTAGGTGTAAAAGAGAAAAATATCCACTCTCTACCAACACGAGAGTATATATATTTTCCTTTAATCAAAACATAAAACAATTTAAGGACTGACTCCGTTTTTAGAAATTAAATATCTTGAGACTGGCCTTTCTTTTAGAAGATTCGTCTATGTTAGTTTAATCTATGCCAACGATGTTAAGTTCTCCAGAAAAATCTTATTTTTATTATCTTTAATTTTTTTTTAAATTTATAATACAATTAATAAATTAAATCAAATAAATTTTTAATATTAATAATCCTATTTAAATTTTCCTCTTTCCTGTAATGTTTTATTTATTTATTGTCTTTAGTTAAGTTATCTTTCAGAAAGAAACAACTTTGAAAAAGTAAAGAACTAATTTATTATTTTCTTTCAGAGCAAATATTACTTCATTGAGACATATCGTTTAGACAAAGTAACATTTTCATTGAGTGTAGTAAGCAATTATACCCTTACAATGATATTTTTTTCTTTCATTTTAATTTGTAAAAATAATAATTATCTGGGCTTAGCTTGCTTCTTCATATAGCCTTTGCATGCCTTGTTATCACGAATGGAACAAAATGAATGATCCAATTCCTAAATTCTCAGAGAAATACATCTACGCATGAAGGAAGTGAGTATATTCAAACACGTAAAGTATATAGGTTACTAACCCTCGAGGTAACAATACTTGGAAAGGTTAACATAGAATAATTCTAGTTCATGACGAAACAAGAAGGCAACCTTCAAGCCCTTTTGCCCTTCAAGTCTCTTCTATACATTCTAGTTATATGTAAAATAACTTAACCCAACATTAATTGGCCTCCTTCAACCTAAAAGCAATTAATGGATACCAAGCATGCACATATAGCTAATCGGTCTTATGAGGATTATGATCCTGTGTACAACTGGCGTACAGAAGAGAACCGTGATACCGTTGAACTTCATCTTCCAGGCATGTTTAATTTCATGTGCCTACATTATGCACTTCATTTGTTTTATATATATTAAACACGCTTAGTTTTGAATGGGTCCATGTCTTCATAAAAAGCATTTATTGAATCTATACCTAAGAGGTTAAATACTTGCATCTTTTTGGCTTACAACCCTTAATTAACAATTATTTTTGTTATTGCTAGATCAAAATCAAATCAACGGATATTTTTGCCATATAACCTTTATCAATTATTTTTATTATTATTAGATTAAAATCAAATCAATAGATGTTTTTGCCATATAACATTTGAGTTTGTTTTTTCTAAAGTTACTTTAGATAACTTTATCTAATGTTCACCAAAACGACGTCGTTTTAGAACAGAAATCATGATGTTTTTATAATTTTAATTTATTTCAGGGTTATAATAGTCTTTATCATTCTAATTTTTTAATTTTTCAACCCCAAAACGACGTCGTTTTGATGAACATTAAGCAAAGTTATCTAAAGTAACATTAGATACTTTTTTTCCAACTTTTATCAATTAGTTTTATTATCATTGGATCAAAATCAAATCAACGGTTACAAAATAATATCAAATGAAAGTCGTTGATTTGATTTTGATCCACCAATAACAAAAATAATTGTAACATATTGCAATTATAACCTTCCTCAATCTTATATGACCAAATATTTATTCAAATTCTATTTATTTTGTGCATACTCATGTTATTGTAATTTCTTCCAAACTAGACCACAATTTTTTTTTTTTATATCAGGTTTTAAGAGAGAGCATATACGAATTCAAATCGACCATCTTGGTTTTTTGATAATAAGTGGAGAGCGTCCGTTGGATGGAACTAGATGGAGACGTTTCCAGAAAGAATTTGAACTCCCATCAAATTGCATTGTAGATGATATTTATGGTAATTTCATGCAAAGCATTCTTTCGGTGGTAATGCCAAAGAAAATTCCTCAGCAAGAGGAAATCACTGAATTTGTGCACAAGAAAGATTTAGAGAAAAAGGGGTTTGCAGAAAAGACAGAAACCACAGCCAAAGAAGCACTAGCAGAAGATACTCATATTAATCGAGAGGAGCAAGAAACAGATCACTACCAGTTTGCAGAAAAAAATGATGTGGGGTTAACACCAGAAACGACTAGAGAGATTGCCCTCAAATTCATGGTTGTTATAATTGTGCTATTGGTTATAGCAAGTTATGTAGCAGATATGAGCAAAAGCATCATGACTCAAGCTCAATCATATTTTAACAATTAGAAGAAACTCTGGTTTAAGGCTGTTAATTCTGTAAATTTTAAAGCTCTGAAATCGATAAAGTTATTATATTATTATATTTGTTTGACAGAAGTTTCCTAAGGCTTATAAATTAATCCGATCAATGTGTAGCTATAAACTAACGGAAAAAAATAATTAATTTATTGCTTTTTTTAATAAAAAATTAGGAAAATGTAGTTGTTTTGAAATTAATTACTAAAATATAGCAGTCAAACACGCCCATGTGTTCCAATAAAGAGAAACACACCCATATGGGGCGTGACCTAAGCGTGAGTCACGCCCACATGGGGCGTGACCAGGTTGGAGAGAGACACTCCCATCTGGGCCGTGACCGAGGAGAGAGACACTCCCAATCTGGGCGTGTTTCACCGGGTGCTGCCACGTGGCACAAAAGTCAATAGTTTGATCGTAAAACTTTGGAAGTCCATAACTTTTGACTCGGATATCCGAATTAGGTAATTTTTTTTTGATTTCACATAACTTTTCGAGATCTACGCAATGACACCTCTTTTGACATATTTTGTCTCTCGCAAAAAAAATTGAATTTACAACAATGATACCATAATTATTAAAAATGACATAACTTTGTTATTACCTTATAATTATTACTAAAAATAATCTAACATTTTTATAATCATGAACAAAAACTTAAAAATCAAAATAAAACGAAAAGCAATCACTTAACTTTTTAATATAAATTATTTGATATTTTGTCACCGAGAGATGTTAACCGAATAAAATTATAAATTTCATAAAATTCTTCATTCAAATTTTTAACATATATCTCAATAACATACATAATTAACCTTATCATAACTTACCATAATCATAAGGATTTTTATTATGAATGTTTCTAATCATAACAGTGGTTTTCTGCTTATTAATTTGAGTTTAAACGTTCTTATGGTATCATTGTTGTAAATTCAAAAAAAATTTTAAGTAACAAAATATGCCAAATGAGGTGTCATTATGTAGATCTCGAAAAGTTATGTGGAATAAAAAAAATTACCTAATTCGGATACCCTAGTCAAAAATTATGAACTTCCAAAGTTGTACGGTCAAACGGTTGACTTTTGTGCCACGTGGCAGCACCTGGTGAAACACGCCCAGATGGGAGTGTCTCTCTCCTCGGTCACGCCCAGATGGGGAGTGTCTCTCTCCAACCGGTTACGCCCCTATGGGGCGTGTTTGACTGCTATATTTTCGTAATTAATTTCAAAACGACTACTTATTCGTAATTTTTTTTATTGAAAAAGCAATAAATTAATTTGTTTGCCATAAACTAAGAGATGTGAAAACTAACAAAAAAAATTAAACCGAATTGTATAGTTATCGGTTTTTAAATTCAGTTCATAAACCGAATCGATTTTTAAAGAAACAGTTCATGATGAATTGAACTGTTTTTAAAATCAGTTCAAGAACCAAATCATTTTCGAACCAAACCGAACTATTTTCGAACTGAATTGATTTTTATTACTTTAATTATTTAATTTTTTTTTTCAGAATATAGTTGACCCGAACCTGTTTCGAACCGTATAGAACTGTTTTCATTAAAATCAAATCATTTTCGAACCGAACCAGATCAGTTTTAAACCGAACCGAACCATTTTTGAACCGAACCAAATCGGTTTTGAACCGAACTGAACCATTTTTGAACCGAACCGTTAAAACCAATCCGGTTTATTTTAAAAAAAATTCGGTTCAACTCGACCCATGCACATCCCTACTATAAACTAGCGAGACATGAAGTTTATTCAAGTTTAGTGAATGTTTATACAGGTTTAATCATATTAAGGTCATCATCAATTTCATCAGGTTCCATTTGGCTAATTTTGGCGGTGTAGGCATGTCAAACAATTTTAGTGAATGTTTATACAAGTTTTGATATGCTACTCGTAGAAAATATTATATATCAATTTACATCAGTATAAATTATATTTTTTATTTTGGTTGTTGATATTATTTATATTCTAATTTATTAATTTATATGACCATTTAGATGCAAATAAATTAATTACTAAAATTTGATATATGACTTCTTATTCTTATATCAATGTAAGAATAACCCCCATGATGTATTTACCAATTTAAATTTTGACTATAACAACCGGAACTTTTTTTATCTTATTTAACTATGTTGACATTTCGTTAAGAATATTGAGAATTACAAAACAGCCATTGAGAAAACATTTCTAGAACATTACAATAAATAATCATAATTTTTTCATGGGAAAACTTTTTGTCTGTGTTTTTAACTGCTTATAACTATATATTCCGGAGAATACATAATTATCATATTAAAAAATTATATTTTTTCATTTTCTACGTCAGTTAACAGCTTCTGAAGAAAGAGAAAAATATGTAATTTTAATATTATAACTATATATTCTCTAGGGTATATAATTATAAGCAGCTAAAATAATACAACTTATGTTATTTAAAATCACAAATCATTTTCCCTTTATTCATACAATCATGTATAATTCAGAAAAACAAACCCAAACAAAGATATCTGAAATGGCTCGAGAAGTGGCACTGTCAGGCGAAGATGGCTGAAATGGCAACAAGGGCTGCCATGAGGACCCCAGATAGAGAAGAAACAACAGCAGAAGAAGGAGCAGGTGCAGGACCTTCGGTCACAACATTGATGACAAGCTTCATTTGATGATCAGAACAGTGGTTTGCAACGCCACAAGCGTACCACTTCTTCCCTTCGAGTTTCAGTTGAATAACGTCATTTCCGGTTGAAAGTGAATTGTTTGATGGTGGGAAGCTGCAGTTCTGGAATTGTGTAGCGTTCAATTTGAACACATTGTGTCTTGAGTTGTTATAATTGAACACTGCATCATTAATAGATCAAAGAGAAAGACTTCATCTTAATTTGACTACACATTCTATATATATAAATACCCAAATAATTAATTCTAAAGTCAATAATATATCAAAAAGTTCGGTAAAAGGTCTACCAAAAAAATTCTGATCGATTGCATAGTATTTTTCAAAACAATAATTACCATTCTTACATAAATTCTTTTGAATAATAATAATATAAAAAGTCTTTCTATCTTTTCTTATCCTAATAAGGAAATAATGTATATAAATTAACATAACGATTTATAAAAAAAGATAAGGTTATATTTACAAAATTTTTGTTTACAAACTATAGCGTCTGACCGGTAATACACTCTTGAGTAAAGTATTACCGATCACATATAATATAGTTTGTAAAAAAAAAATTGTCAATAAAACCCTACCCATAAAAAAAAACTGAATAACTGCAGCAACATTAAGTTAATAAGTGCCATCAAATTCTGACTAATTTAAGTATTACTTTTATTTTAATCTTGTTACATACCAAGGTTGTCACCAACACGGAAAACTTTGTCCTGGGCCCACTGTGTGTAGTTAAAATCAAGAGTCCAGCCACTCTGATCCCCCACATTGTAATCAGTTGCCATTGCAACTGAGGAAAGCAAAACCGTGGAGATTGCTAGGAATAAGGCAATGCGAGAAAAAGCCATTGGATTTGAACTAAGACTAAGAAGTTAAACAGCTACGCGCTTAAAATCTCAAACAAGTCCTCGACAAGCTAGCTAGCAAATGTTATTGCTTAGATGAAACGTTAGCTAGCTCATACCAATTTGCATTTCAACTTAATTTGACTATATATAAAGACTTGCCTATTGATTTTATCGACATACATATGGAAACCTCGCAAGAGGAGGGGCGCGTGGGGTGCCCGAACATGCCGGCTTTTACTATGATGATGAGCTTGCACCGCATAATCTTATTTGAGCGTAGTACGTATAGAATAGAATTAAACTTGGAAGCAATTTGACCGTTAAAAACTAAGCTTATAGCCTTGTTTTGGAATGGTGAGTTTTTCAATATATACTGTGTTGAGCTGTCAAAAGGAAATAGGAAAAAAGTGGATTTGTTCCGTCCTGAGTCCTGCCTTCTGCGCTTTGGTAATATTGCCGTGCGCTGATTCTTTGACTTGCAAACGTACAAGTACAAAATGTACAAATACCAAAATAATGAGTTACCGTATAATAGATTAATATTCCGCTTACCACGTCGTAATACGCGATAATTAGAGATGGGCATGGGTCGAACCAAACTTGATTTCTTACATAACCAAACCAAATCATTTTAATTCGGTTCGGTTCAAAGAACGGAACCTTTTTTTTTATTTGAACTGGTTGAATTTGGTTCAGAATTGGTTAGAAACCGGTTCTACCCAAACCAGTATCTCGACATCTCAACCAAATTTAATTCCAGGAAAACCCTCTTCTCAAAACAAAGTGTTCAAACAATGAAGAAAAACTAAAAAAAAAGGGAGTGTGCTCTGAAACTTGGCGTCAACTAGAGATTAAGATCGGTCATCTGAAATTTGGTAAATTTGGTGAATTCGTTCGATCAGTTATGTTTTCCATCGAAAGCAGAATTATTAGTCTTCGACCTCGAGAACTGCAAAATTGGGTTCAGATCTCAGACCAACAAGTGACTTCCCATTTGGATGCGTCATCGGCGATGGGAGTGGGAGCGTCTAGGTCATGAAGCTCCGACATGGGCCTCAAGGTGCCGCCACGGAGCGTCTCAATCGCTGCCTGGTACAAGTGGCAGTTTCCGGTCAACAGAAGCCCCATGGTGCCATTCACAGGGTTTATAGATTGAAACAGAGCTGTATAGGAAAAACATTTCTTGAAAAGATTTCACGGAAGAAAAAAAGAGAGAGTGAAAAACTGATTTATGAGATACTGTGATATATTTGTTTTCATGATTAAGGTTTTCATTAAAAAATTCCTTACTTGGAAGTCTCTGTTTGTTGGCTTATTCATAGTGCAAATTGAAGAGCAGTGAAAAACTGATTTAATGTGGTTCTTAAAACAATTCAGTTTTTCTAGATATTTTGAACATCCCTGACGATAATTATCACTTATCAAGCTGATCCAAACTTTGAAAACTTTGCTGACGCGTCG